CTAACCTAACCTAACCTAACCTAACCAAACCTAACCAGGTCAAACTTGCGCCATGCCACCTTTTCGTACTTTCCCTTCCTTAATAAACCAATCTAACATGATAAAACATAATACAATCCAACCCAAGTCAATCCAGCGCAATCTAAGCTAACCTAACCTAACCTAAGCTAACCTAACCCAGGGGTTGGGTTGGGTTATGTTGGGTTATCTTAGGTTGGGTTATGTTGGGTTGGGTTTGGTTGAGTTATGTTGGGTTGTGTTGGGTTATGTTGGGTTTAGTTATGTTGGGTTGGGTGGTTGAGTTATCTTAGGTTGGGTTTGGTTGGGTTGATTGGGTTGGGCTGGGTTAGGTTCGGTTAGGTTGGGTTTGGGATGGGATGGGTTGGGTTGGGATGGGATGGGATGGGATGGGATCAGCTATCTCTCAACCTGCTTCTCTGTTTATTAAGTGATTCAAATGATTAAACTTAAACAGCTGGCTAATAGTAAAGTGCTCGTTTCTTATAAAAAGCAAGTTAACCTTTTCGAACATTGTACTGGTGAATTTTATATTAGTTTTGTTAATAAAAACTCCCTTCTGTCATCACAGGAAGATGGTTCAGCGTTGCTTTAAGACTGCATAATCACTTAATCAACATATAGTCAACAACTAAGAACAAGGAATTACTCACTTAACAATTAGATGCTTACACAATCACAGAGACGATCCCCAGATATTGCACTGCCATTTGACGGCAAATTCGTTCTAGGTAATGGTAAGCAGCAAACAACAAAGTCCAAGAAGTCCTACAGCACAGTAGACTATTAAGTCAACTATCTGCAAATAATCGACAAGAAAAACAAATTAACTATGTTATTAAGTAAATAACATCAAACAAATAACAAAAACGCACCAAAAACCAACTGAAATACCAAAATTAACAAAAGCATTACAATGAAGAAGCTAACACATTACAAAACACAATAAATTGTCAAAATAATATCCAATAACCATAGATGCATGTTAACCTCAATTTATGCTATGAAGAAATTGGGTGCGTTCCATGCGACTAACGATACATGAAAGGAAAAATACCAAAGCAAAGCATATCCATATCAAATTAAATAAACATGTTGCATTTTCAAAAATTTAGCCTATAATATAATGTCCAAATGAACTAACTATTACATATGATCCGTTCAGCCTCGTTATTAACATTACCTGCATACCCTACTGCAGTAATCATCAAACGGCTCCACTGTTCATTGCGTGATTTAAATATGTGTAACTTTTTATAAACTAATTGTGATAACGAATTACTTAAACAGCTTCCTAAAAATAAAGTGCTTGTTTCTTATAAAAAGCAAGTTAACGTTTTCGAACATTGTACTAGTGAATTTTATATTAGTTTTGTTAATAAAAACTCCCTTCTATCATCACAGGAAGATGGTTCAGCGTTGCTTTAAGACTGATAATCACTTAATCAACATATAGTCAACAACTAAGAACAAGGAATTACTCACTTAACAATTAGATGCTGACACAATCAAAGAGACGATCCCCAGTTATTGCACTGCCATTTGACGGCAAATTCGTTCTAGGTAATGGTAAGCAGCAAACAACAAAGTCCAAGGAGTCCTACAGCACAGTAGACTATTAAGTCAACTATCTGCAAATAGTTGACAGGAAAAACAAATTAACTTTGTTATTAAGTAAATCACATGAAACAAATAACAAAAACACACCAAAAACCAACTGAAATACCAGAATTAACAAAAGCATTACAATGAAGAAGCCAACACATTACAAAACACAATAAATTGTCAAAATAACAATATCAAGTAACTGAAGTTACCATAGATGCATGTTAACCACAATTTATGCTATGAAGAAATTGGGTGCGTTCCATACGACTAACGATACATGAAAGGAAAAATGCCAGACAAAGTAAAGCATACCCTGATCAAATTAAATTAATATGTTGCATTTTCAAAAATTTAACCTATAATATAATGTCCAAATGAACTAACTGTTACATATGATCCGTTCAGCCTAGTTACTAACATTACCTGCATACCCTACTGCAGTAATCATCAAACGGCTCCACTGTTCATTGCGTGATTTAAATATGTGTAACTTTTTATAAACTAATTGTGATAACGAATTACTTAAACAGCTTCCTAAAAATAAAGTGCTTGTTTCTTATAAAAAGCAAGTTAACGTTTTCGAACATTGTACTAGTGAATTTTATATTAGTTTTGTTAATAAAAACTCCCTTCTATCATCACAGGAAGATGGTTCAGCGTTGCTTTAAGACTGATAATCACTTAATCAACATATAGTCAACAACTAAGAACAAGGAATTACTCACTTAACAATTAGATGCTGACACAATCAAAGAGACGATCCCCAGTTATTGCACTGCCATTTGACGGCAAATTCGTTCTAGGTAATGGTAAGCAGCAAACAACAAAGTCCAAGGAGTCCTACAGCACAGTAGACTATTAAGTCAACTATCTGCAAATAGTTGACAGGAAAAACAAATTAACTTTGTTATTAAGTAAATCACATGAAACAAATAACAAAAACACACCAAAAACCAACTGAAATACCAGAATTAACAAAAGCATTACAATGAAGAAGCCAACACATTACAAAACACAATAAATTGTCAAAATAACAATATCAAGTAACTGAAGTTACCATAGATGCATGTTAACCACAATTTATGCTATGAAGAAATTGGGTGCGTTCCATACGACTAACGATACATGAAAGGAAAAATGCCAGACAAAGTAAAGCATACCCTGATCAAATTAAATTAATATGTTGCATTTTCAAAAATTTAACCTATAATATAATGTCCAAATGAACTAACTGTTACATATGATCCGTTCAGCCTAGTTACTAACATTACCTGCATACCCTACTGCAGTAATTATCAAACTGCTCTTCTGTTCATTGCGTGATTTAAATATGTGTAACTTTTTATAAATTAATTGTGATTACGAATTACTTAAACAGCTTCCTAAAAATAAAGTGCTTGTTTCTTATAAAAAGCAAGTTAACGTTTTCGAACATTGTACTGGTGAAGTTATTACCAGTGTGTGTTGTCAATAAAAACTCCCTTGCATCATGACAGGAAGAAGATTAAGTGTTGCTTTAAGCCATTAAAATCACTTAATCCACATATACACAACAAATAAAAATAAGGGATCACTTACTTAAGAATTAGATGATAACACAATCACAAAGACAATCCCCAGATATTGCACTGCCATTTCACTGCCAATTCCTTCGAGGTTAATGGTAAGCAACAAGCAACAAACTCCACGGAGTCCTACACCGCAGCAGACTATTAAGTCAACTATCTGCAAGTAATCGTCAAGAAAAACAAATTAACTGTTATTAAATAAATAACAGGAGATAAATCACAAAGCGCACCAAAAACCAAATAAAATACCAAAATCAACCAACGTTTTACAATGAAGAAGTCTCGACTTTAAAAAACGCAAGCATTTGTCAAAATAACAAAATCGAATAACCAGAGATGCAACTTAACCTCAATTTATGCTACGGAAAAATTGGGTGCGTTCTATGCGACTAATGATACATGAAAGGAAAAAACAACAAAGCATAGCCTTCTCAAATAAAATAAGCATGTTACATTTTCTAAAATTAATCCTGTAATATAATGCCAAATGAACTCACCATCACATATGATCACTTCAGACTTCTTGGTAACATTACATACATACTATATGCTAGTAGTAATCAACCTTCTTCTTTGTTCATTGAGTGATTTAAATAAGTGCAACATTTTATTAGTTAATAGTCATTACGAATTACTAAACAGCTTGCTGATAATTCAGCGCTCAATTCTTATAAAAAGCAAGTTAACGTTTTCGAACATTGTACTGGTGAATTTTATACTAGTTTTGTTAATAAAGACTCGCTTGTATCTTCACAGGAAGATGGTTAAGCGTTGCTTTAAGACATAATGATCACTTAATCGTCATATACACAACAAATAAAAACAAACAATCACTTAAGAATTACATGCTAGCACAATCACAGAGACGATCCCCAGAAATTGCACTGCCAATTGACTACAAATTACTTGTAGGTGCATGGTAAGCAGCAGAATTTGAGGTCACAAGGTTTTTGTAACTCCCTTCCAAAAAGGACACTGGCAGGTGTTTGAGCAGTCGTTTCATAGACAGATAAACGGTATACCATTAAAAATAAAGGCAAATAGCGGTCCCAGTCCCTTTGGTGATGAGACAATACCTTCGAGAGATATTTAATCAAGGTCCGGTTCATTCGCTCAATCATGCCGATCGATTGTGGATGGAGTGGAGTAGTTAGAGTTTTCTTTATTCCTAGGAGCTCGCATATTCCACGGAATATAGCCGATTCGAAATTTCTCCCTTGGTCTGAGTGCAACTCCAAGGGCGCCCCAAAGCGACTGATCAACTCTCTCACCAGCTCCTCAAATATGATTTCCGACTCCTGCTTCGTAAGGGCATGGACTTCAACCCACTTGGTAAAATAGTCCATAACGACCACAATGTACTTGTTAGCTTTCTCGGACTCTAGGAATGGACCCGCCACATCGATTGCGATTCGTTCGAAGGGGCCACTGACATTGTATTGACGCATTGGCGCCCTTGACCTTTTCTGTGGTCCATTACTCGCGGCACAGGTGGTACACTTCTTACACCAATTCTTAACATCTTCCTTACTGTTCACCCAATAAAATCGCTCACGAACTTTCCGAAGCGTATTATTCATTCCAAAATGGTCACCAGATGATCCATCATGAAGATACTGCAACACCTCTCTAACCTTGTTTCGAGGAATAACCAATTACTTCCCATCTTCCTCTCCATCTGGACTTTCAACAACACGCTTCAGGATGCCATCCTCCAAAACCATTGAGTCCCACTGAGCCCATATCGATTTTAGAACTTGGATACAGGAAGAAATTTGCTGCCACGTTGGTCGTTTTCCATTCCATCACCTTCTTCAAGTCCGGGTCGTTTTCTTGGTCGTGTTTTATATTTTCAGGTAACCACTCGTCAACGATTACCGTGACGCGTCGAATTGCTTCTTCATTCTTTTCCATACATTGCTTGTAGTCTGTTTGACGTCAAGTACTTGGGGAAGGAGTATTTTTCCTACACTGCCTCCTCGTATGACCTAGTTCGCCGCATTTCCAACATCTTAGCTTTCGAGTTTCTTTATCGAACTTGGAGATGATTCGGCAGACGGTTTCTTCTAAAGATTCTGACGAATCCGTTTCATCACACAGTTGCCGAACCCTTCCCTGTTTGCTATAGGCCCATTTAACAGTTTCGTACTCCAATGCACGAGCCAATGCATCAGCTAGCGTCTTAGGTTGACCAAGGCGTATTCGTTGTTGAGTGTCACTGTCTTGAAATCCATCAGAAAATGCTTCCACTATCAATTCGTCTGGAGTACAGGGTTTGTTCAGAAAGTAATAGGACTGAGTCGATTTAAAAAAATTTATGGAGCCAATCGTAACAATTCTTTAAAAACTTTCAAAATAGACTCCTTCTGCGTCGATGCAGCACTGCCAACGCGATTTCCAAGCATTGAAATCGTTACGGAAGGCATTCACTGGAATAGCCTTAAGAGCCGCGGTGCATGCTGCTTGGATCCCCTCTGTCGTCTCAAAATGCTTGCCTTTCATCGGCCTTTTCAGGCGAGCAAACAAAAAAAAGTCCGGGGGGAGGGGGCTCATTTGGGCTGTAGGGCGGCTGCAGAAGCGTTGGGATGCCGGCCTTGTCAGGTAGCTGTCCACAAGAAAGGCGGTGTGAGCCGGGGCGTTGTCGTGTTGCAACTTCCATTGACCCTTTGTTTCAGTCTCTTGAGCACTTCCACGTAAAACTTGGCGTTGACGGTTTCTCCAGGAGGAACAAATTCATGGTGGAAGAGATACCGGCGTGTGCCACTCGGAAGATTGCCTCTTTATCTCGGGATCATACTCAAAGATCCATGAATCGTCACCTGTGATTACGTTATTTAAAAATTGGGGGTCACTTTCACACATGTTTAAATTTTCTTGGCACACTTCCACTCGGCGCAATTTCTGGTCGTCAGTGAGCACTTTTGGGACCATCTTCGCGCACACCTTGCGTATGTTCAAATGCTCCGTCACAATGTCATAAACCACAGATTTTGGTAAATTTAATATCTGGGCAATTAAACGAATACTTAGTCGACGGTCTGAGTTCAAAACTTCGCGCACACGAGTCACATTGTCGGTGTTTGTCGAAGTCGAAGGTCTTCCATCACGGTCTTCATCAGCGACCTCTTACCGGCCCTCTGAAAAGGTCTGTTGCCACCGAAACACTCCACTTCTTGCTAAAGCAACATCTGGGCTTGCTTGATCATATCAAACGTCTCTGTCGCAGATTTACCGAGTTTCACACAGAATTTAATCCCGTACCTCTGCTCTAACGAACGCTGCATTTTCGGTTTACACCACTCACACGTCACGCGAAAAAGCCTGTTCTGATTCTCCAGGTGCTCGGAGACAACTCATCAGCCGCTCGTTCGTTAGCTAGGAATGCCCTCTACCGAATCCAGTCGGTACGCGCACGCTCCGAAGTACAGTCGCAGCGGAAGGAAATCAGTCCTATTACTTTCCGGACAGACCCTGTATTAGGATAGGCCAGTCGGGACAGTCTCGCAATATCGGCCTCGAATTCTTGTAGGGATTCCGTTGGTTTCTGCTGACGGGTTTTCAGTTGGATTTGATACACCGCTGTCAAATGAGCCTCGCCGTAGCCCAACTCTAACTGTTTTACCAACTGTGTATAATCCGTCAATTCTTCCGGAGAAAGGGTGTTCAAAATGTCACATGCATCTCCACGAAGCGCAACGGTCAACGCAGTGACTTTTTCTTCAGGCGCCCAGTTATTCGCCTTAACAGCCGCCTCGAATTGCTTGTAGTCCATGAGGACTTTCCGTCAAACGTTGGTGGTTTTACTGGTGTTCTTAGCTCTATACCGCTTCCTTGGCTGATTTGGTTCCCTCTCCAGAGTTCGTAAATTTTATGATAACCGCTGTGACTTATATATATTTCTTACTGTAAAGAGCCGCAAATATTTTTTTTTTGTCGAAAACGGCTAAATAACTAAATGGGACCATGGCTAGGGCCATTTTTCCCTTCACCCACAAGTTTTTAAATTGAAATGTTACTACATTGACAGCAGACTGGGATCATAAAAGCAATTAGTAGATACCTATAAGTATTTGTAGAAAATAAAGTTAANAGTTCAACCATTTTACGTTGTAGGTGATACTGATTCGAGTCAAAAATTTTGATAGTCACTTACGACAATGTAGTTTCTAGCTGCTTTATAGATGTGATCTCACTACAGTTATAGAATTTGTAGTAAATAAAGTTAATCGTTATTATTAATATTCTAAATTACTTTTTATATATTAATGTAATCAATGTAGCAAGAAGCTAAATAAACACATTATTATTATTATTATTATTATTATTATTATTATTATTACTTACAAATACTTCACTTCCACGGTTAATGATTTCAATACATCATTTTGGATTGGTTACTATAGACAAGACATACCTAATAAGTAACAAGTAGGTAGGAACAATAATTGGTTCAACAGTATTGAACAGATTAAACTATCAGATATCCTGATTACTTTAATCAAAATTCAGCAACAGTTTCTATTTTTTTCGGCGGCGTTTCAGGACTCCCTACCCTTCCTATTTATTTTATGTTCTTCAATTGGCGCCTCTGTTATAATTACAGGTATTAAACTCATAAGGATAATTAATGTCACTGAAACTGATTACCGCCGTTATCAATTTATTGTTTGCTGGTCATCAGTGTCTGCGCAACCGAAAACTGATCGCGAAAAGCAGATTCGCGATTTGTTTTGCGAAAGGAGGAGCGTCGGTTTTAAGGGCGGGTTTTGCAAATGTGACCTAAACGAGCAAGATTATGTACTATACAGCGCCTTTTAGTATGACAAATTCTTTTACGATTAGATAATGCCGAACCGTATTACATTTCCGGAAGAAATTTATAAAAACGTGTCCCACAAAATAGGTATTACCCACCTATTATCAATTTTTTTTTAACTCGACTTTTCTAACTTATCCATTTCGTTATTGCATTCGAAAGCTGTTGTTATCTATTTATATTGAATATTTAAAATTTCAGTTTATTGTATCAACTTAAGTTCATTTTCAATCTATTCATTTAGTGATAAAAACAAAAAAGTATCAACAAGTATGCAAGAAACGCGGTCGTTCTTCATTAAAGATCTCTTAAGTGATGTTATATCAAACTCAAAAAATCCAGGTACGTAAATTAGTTGTGTCTCGTTGTGTGTTTCATGAATTTATAGTGAGTGGTACCTAATATTTTATGGAAAAGTGGCAATCATATTATGTAGATATACCTACCAATAGATAATTGTTTTCAAAAAGTAAACTAGTTTTAGGTATAGTAGGTACCTAATATATTAAGTACGCATCTTGTATGTATGTATTTACAAATAAAAAAAAACAGTCGGTTTAGTAAATAAAAAATTTAACTTTTGTAAAAGTTGCAAACAAATTCAAAGCATACAGGTCAGAAGACGCACCACTCACAATTGTCTTTTAAACAGATTTCTAAATAGAGCATCAGTGATAATAAAAATAATTTCGTGAAACAATCGGTACGTAATATAATACCGATTAACATTTGTCTATTTTGTTTCACTGCTGATGTTTAAAAGAGCAACTTTTGGCACGAGGTTCTTTATCGCGCAAGGAGCTAACCAGCAAAAATCAGCATCATCAGATATATTTCTTTTTATTTCCTAGTTTTTTATCCTATCAATTTCTTTCTCCGGAGATTCTTATGGCAACAAAGGGATGTTTCACCATCATAAGGTCGTCAGTCCTAAATCTGGTTGGACACCACGTACCTCCACTCTTTCCTATCCTGAGAAGGGATGTTTAATCAAAAAAATATATGACGCAAAAAAGTATAAATAATTACTATTATACAATTAAAAAATATTGTTTTTTGTTATGTAACTGTAAATTTACGGTTTTTACATTTTTACCTTAATTGTGTTGGCGTTGCTTCTTACCAAATTTCATGATTCTAGGTGAGCGGGAAGTACCCTACATGTTTTGATTCCCTTGCGAGTGTCAAAATATGCGGCATAAACGGCCGTATCTTTTGATTGCACTGACATAAAGGTTTAATTTTTTGACGGCTACAAATGATTGTAGATCTGAGTATTTGGTATTAATTTCAACGCGATACCTCCATGCGTTCTTAAGAAAAAGGGTCTTGACGGACGGACAACAAAGTGATCAATGATCATATAAGGGTTCCTCTTATCATTTCGAGGTACGAAAACCCTAAAAAGACCACAAACACTAATGGACCAATTTCATCATTTTCAATATTAATATTTATCTGGGGAATGAATCACTCTTGCTATTGCCAGTATTTTTCTGTGTAATAACATCATACATCACGTGTAACGGTTTTTATTTTGTATCCATAACTGCACTACAATAATTATTTAAGATTACTTGGTCAATATTCGAGGCCGTTACGAATTTTTAAAAACTATTAACTGTTTGCCTGATATACGTATCTGTTAATATTAACAATTGTAACAACGTTGACAGAATATTTTTTGATCATGATCAAGTTAGGTTCTGGGATGAGATCTTCATTTAAGAAGGTCCACTCGTGATGTACCTGATGTACACCTGTAGGTATAGAAACGAAAAAAGTGTCTCATATCCATATCCCTTTATACTCAATTGCCCATGTTTGTTGTGTAAATCGTGAAGAGCCTTCACATACATCTACCGTTATTGTATTTTTTAGCATGAATTCGCCCTAATGAAATCCAAGCTTTTTGCTTGTCTCTCTCGTTGATTTGAAAGTGGCGTATTACTGCAGGTAGTGCCATTATTCGACTTAGTTGAAGAGGAGACATTGCTTGGAGCATTAATTAATCTTTGTAGACGGTGTGTGGCACTAACACTCTTCGCCTTCAACATTGTTTACAACAGCATTCCCAATTAGACTTTACCTACCGCTTTCGTACATACGTTTTATAAAATCTACCTGCACGTACTTTAGTTAATGCTATGATACTAAAACATATCTATACAATATGCTTAAAGTTAGTTTTCGAATAAATTGCATAGGTATCTATGTATGTATATTACCTTTTAAAGTGTTTTTTTTGTTTATAATACATTATGTTGAACATACTACTTATATATTACCTACAGATAGGTGCTAAATACATACATAATACGTAACAGTTAGAAGTGTTTGAATTTTTTACAGAACACATTTTAACGAATAATGTTGAAATACTTGAGGATTCACAAGGCGAGAGCAATAATATAACGAACACGACGGACAAGTTATCACTCGTAAATACTTCATCGGAACAAATTTTGGACGATATCACTACCAATTCGAAAGGTAGAAAGCCGAGAAGGAGAAGAACTGCATTCACCCACGCTCAACTGGCTTACCTCGAGCGCAAGTTTCGTTGTCAAAAGTATCTTTCAGTAGCCGATCGGAGTGATGTCGCCGATGCTCTTAATTTGTCCGAAACACAAGTGAAAACTTGGTATCAAAACAGGAGGTAAGAAATAATAAACTTAATGATTATTAAGATGTTGGAGCATACCAGACTCTTTATCTTCATCTTGTTCTTTTTCTCTACTTCTTATTACAAACGAGCAAATACAGGGTAAATGTTCCAAAGGGGGTCATTAAGAATTTACTGATTAATAAAATATATAGGGTTGTTCGGAAAGTCATTTCGTTTTTTTTTTTTGTGGAAATGAAAGAGTTTTCGTATAATAAACAAATACTTTATTAAATTATATATTGACCGATCTGGTCCAACACCTTTTGCCATCTTTCTGGTAGTAACATAATTCCACGCTCATAAAATTTTTGGTCTTTGCTGGCAAAAAACTGATCGAGGAGGTTTTTGACCTCCTCATTTGAGGTGAAGGTTTTACCGTCTAAAAAATTTTGGAG